GAGACGCGTCACGACATATGGCGTGCCCGGAGTCGATGCCGGTCGGTTGCGAGTTGATTAGAGACGCTATTCTTAGGAACTCGAATTGTACAGTCGATATTACTTCTTGATATTTTACACAATGATTCCATTAACCTCAAGTGTACGGCCGCCACCTGTTAGTTCGAATCATTCCGTGTGCAAAATGTGCAAAATACTCAATCGCTTACCTCTGCCGCGAACGTAAGCGAAGAGGGCACTGGGGTCGCCATTGGTTATAGCGACTCCACCCACCAGTAACATCCCCTCCTCAGTTATGAACACAATGGAAATCGCTGGCGTCCCGTTTCTCCTATCTTTCTTTTTTCTCATTCGTCGCCCCTACCCCTCATTTGCCTGTAACTCTTCAGCTCTCACTTCTTCACATGTTCGCACAATTTTCGGAATCGATAGTAAAAAAGAGGATTCTTTTGAGCATGTCTTCTCATCACTTAAAGACACATGGTACGATCACACATAGTTTGGGTGTGCGTGACTATCAGCCCCCAGCTGTCGAAGCGTAGCGGTTTCCCCGTCCTAACATGCGCAGGAATGGAGATACAGGACCGTGAAACACGCTAATTCCTCCATGCTCCGCCCAATACCTTTTGCGGCGCAGACTCCCGTTCATGCTAACAGCCGTCGTGTGCGCGCGTGTCGCGTGCAGCTCTCTTGGCACTTTGCCAAGTCCTTTAATTGCGCTCTCAAATACAATTTTCCTGATGCGGATAACATTTAGGTGCTGCAAAATAAGAACCGAAGATGATGACGAGGGCCAGAACTCAAGAGCAACTGTGCTGCTTCTGCAACATCCCTCGGAGGCCGCGCATTCCCACAAAACATGAAAATAAAAACGGCCTAAGCGTCCCACTCGTTAGTTTAAAGTATTTCTATGGCTTTGGAGCTGGATTCGCGCCGGATCGCAGAAATTTACACGCGATTTTAATTAATTTGCGTTTCCTTACTTTTTTCATTTGTTTTATTTACATCTACATTCGTTGTTCTTCATTTCTAGCCTTTGTCATCTTCATCACCTTCTATTCGGACTTTGAAGCATGAGCAACACCTCAAATGTTATTCGCATCAGGAAATTGCGTTTTGCTTGTATTAAACTAAACGAGTGGAACGCTTAGGGCCGTTTTATTTTCATGTTCTGTGGATGAAACTGCGAGCTTCCAAGGCTATGTATGTAGAAGCAGCACCGTTGCTCTTTGAGTCAGAGCCTGTCTCATCATCCTCGGTTCTTATTTTTGCTAGCACCTAAAGTAAGCTACGAGGACACTATGCACAATGAACGCGCTAACGTGTTTCTGGTCCGTTGAAGCCAGGTGCGATGATGGCATGTCAAAGGTATGGTTTAGAGCAGCCAGTACCGTTTTTTCCTTGTCTCTCTCGGTAAGCGCCAAGTTCGTATCATCTCGTTCGTATCAGTCTTTATTAATTGTTGTCGGTCACCCGCTAAAGATAACTGGGGGAGATTGGGCAGCGCGCCGAAGCCAGCCTTCCTACCACACCCATCATTCGCAGCGAACAAGACTCTAATTGCTACTTCTGTCACCACCCCTCCAAAAAAGGCTGCGCTCATACTTTGCGGCAGCGTCCACCAGTGTCTACCAGGGTTCACAGCGACCGGGAGTGGAATAGAATAGAATACCCTCTCACTTTTCCATACTTTTTATATCCCGTCCGATTGTTGGTGGACGCTGGCAGACGCTGGTAAACCCAGGCAAACGCTTGGGGCAATTGTAATCATATCAATGTCCAGCACAGAATAGTATGACAGTTATTTGAAATTGAAATGTTCATTGAAAAAACGCATCTTACGCTGTGCTCACATAAAGTCCTCGGAGGATTTGGTGAACTAAATTTCACATGAGGTTTTTCCCACAAAATTCTCTGTGACGTGAATGCGCATTTCTTCGTGCTAAACAATAAACCTGATCGAAGGTGAACGCATGGCGTAATCCTGAACTGGCGTAACAGACCCTCAACTTATTTCCCATTATTTTGTATTTTCAAGGTTATATATGAGTCTACCCATTACATGACTGATCTTTATCGCTCAAGTATTTCATAACGATATCACAGAGAGCAATAGAACAACTGTACATTGGCTCACAAACAACGGCTGCATTCCGGTATGGATTATCAGGGGCTTGTCTATGGCACCATGCAGGAACACAGCCGCTTGACTATAGTAAAAAAGCTCCAAATCGAAAGGGTACACGAAGACCTTATGGTATAGTGGTCAGCGCACTAGCCTAATAAATTTCGGGCTCAGGTTATGGTCTGGCTGAGACATGTGTTTTGCCCACTTCTGCCCATGACAAAATTTCTCGTTAAGCGGGCCCAAGGTATAGGCACGTGATGTTTGAAATGATGGTGTCAGTACGACATCCCCCCCCTCTTCCCCAACGCCCACCTACCAATTTCCCCACATTATCCAGTTTTTCACCCAAAGATTTTCCGTCGAGCGGTTGGGCGGGGGGTATTTAGTACACATGAAACACATGAAACAGGAAAAATCACGAAAATCACGAAAAGACAACAAACGGAACATACGGTCCCCCCCTCTCCCAGCGCAAGCGGAACAGTACGACCCCCTATGTGTTTCACACAACGATGCTGTACCCTGGTGCGGGATCCCCTCATGTTGCGGAGCTCAGTATGAAAAGGGGAGCAGTGCACTAAAACCCGCATTGTAGTTAAATAGGCCTGCGCAACTGGTTGTTCAAGGGCTAGCTCATGCTAACCAATCGGCCAAGACCAGGACCATCCAGGATTCTCACCACTGGAAGACTCGCTATTCAACAAAAACAAGTGAATGAAATAACACAGTCGAAAAGAAAAGACCCAGAACCGGTTCACATAACCGTTTCACGTCTTGAACCGCATCGGCACTTGAAAAATGGTTATTGATTGATATGATACATGATTGATATATATGGAAAATTAATAGCCAAACAAAAAATGAGGACGAAGCTGAGCTTGAAAACGGTCTAGAAGCTTCTGCCACAACCAAATAACTTGGGATTGATGTGAAATAATGCGAAAAAGCAAACCGAATACCTAATGAATAAAAATATTGCACAGTAAACAGCAAAAACACATGTTGTTAAGAGAGAAATTTTCAGAAAACGGCGGAATTCTTCAAGAGATTTTCCCTTCTAAAGGTGATTTGTATCATATTAGAATATCAATGACATACGTCGATGCTGAGGCTGGATCGGACTCACTGGTTTTTCGGCCAAAACCGCTCGAATGATCTTGTTGGTGAGGTAAGTAGTCGGAGAGAGCGTGTTGTTGTTTGGCTCGCTGCTGTCCTCCGGGTCTGGCGCAAGGTCTAGCTCGTCGAACGAAAATGCCGTATATGCCTTTGGTACATTTTCGGGATCGTCAAGGGAGGCAATGCGATGAACTGACGGCGGTTGTCGATAGTCGACATTGTCAAAGAGACCTTTACGACGGTAGTTGTGCACCACGTCTTCTTTGTTCGGCCGTCCAATAACAGGAAGATCAACGGTAGACGGGGTCTTTCTTTCCCGGAAACGCCGATCGAATTCCTCTCGAAAGTCGAAGGCGTCCAGTGTGTCGATGGGCTCTTCCGTATCGCCGGCTTCTGGAAATGGAGCGCTGTGCGTTCTAAGCTCTTCCGCGACTTCGCCGTGGCGGAACCCCCATTTTCTTCGTCAAGAACTGTCCTCGTCAAGGATGCTCGCCTCGGCGTCGCAAGAGTTCAGAATCTCTTGATAGCGTCTTTCTCAGGTCTCCCTCAGATGCGATGCAGTGCTTGGCTTGTCCACAATGAGAGCATGGTCTTTGCCTGCAATTACTTTTGCGAAGATTTCTGCGCTGGAAGCCGCTCCACCTTCTTCTGAAATTGAAACTCCCGATGTTTCCAAGTCAGCATCATATCCAAGCGTTCCTGGTCTAATGTCTGCTGACGTTTCAATACTATCTTCTGATGTCGTTTGAGCGCTTTATCGTAGATGGCACAGAGTTCGTCCTTCGACACTGGGACCTCTGACGGTGCCACACCTGCGGTTTACTCAGCTACATCATCCTAATCGATCACCAATGGTAGAGCTTCGTCTGGCAATCAAATTTGTCACTTCCACACTCGTACACAATCTTGGAAATAAGAACATCTCAGGCTACTCATGCTCGCCACGCACTCGAGTTCGTCTGGTTTGAGTGCAGTGGGTTTTAGAAACCTGCACATTGGCTACCTGCGCTCTGTGTGGTAAATGACGATGATTCCTGATCTGATTTGATTGAAACCTCCCATTCGAACCTTTCGAACGAGTGTTTTTAATAAGAGACCTTCGACGGCTGGCCACAGGCGATTCGACTTGTCTATTTGCTTCTACGAAAGGTACCACGTGGGTGGGGCTAGCATCGGCCCACACTACCTAACAGCGCTGTTGTGATTCTTGGACCCAAATTTCGAGGGTAGCGTGGGGAACATATATCACGGCGAGAGCACTAAGAGAGCATTCTAAACTATTCCACTTAAATCACTTACATAGTCCTTATAGTACATCCTACGTTACTTTGCTTGCAGCACCTTTCGCGAGTCTCTCACAAAACATTTGATTTTTGACAATTTTGTGGTGAACGGCTAACGGGGAGAAGGAGCTCTCCTCACCGCGAACCCTGTCTCCTGACTCTAAGACGCTCAGACTCCCTGTCATAGTCACTTCATAGCAACTGCGCGCTCATGTACGTGGACTTCATATGTGGAAGAATGGGTCTGCAGCTGTAATAGTGTGCCACTTTCTCAGCACGAAAGGGGCTCAAGGGTTATGGTCCGGGTGCCGTTCGGATTATCGCCCACCCTGCAGCGCTGCCACATGGGCGGCCCTGTCAGGCGCTTGGCTGCAGCCAACGCGCTCTGTGTCTGCGCTCTCTCACCTCTAATTTGTGTCTACCGCTAAGTTCTAAGGTGTGTGTCTGAGTGCTAAGCTTTGTGTTAAGATGAGTGTTTCGCTGCGGGACCTATGTATTGATGCAAACTCGAGGATGGCGTGGCCGGAGTCCCAAGCGGTACCCGGATATCACCCTAATTTGCTCTCAAGTGCCGAAGGTGTTACATTTGCATAGCTGTCAGCCCGTTTTTCTCGCACGTGTAAGGGCTTCCTTCGAGGTGGCTGTGCAACTTGTCATTATGTTAGCTAGCCTTGTGCCAACACCGTAAATCCAAACAGGCTTCCGTTTCTTCTCTTCTTTCCCCTCCTCCCTCCCCCTTCCTTTGCCTCACCGCTGCCTCTTACACCAAGTGATGTATGAGGGGCCCAACAATGTAATATGCGCCATTAAAGGTAGACTTCGCGATGAGCCAGTGCGCAGCTAATAGGGAGCGGGGTTCGAAAAGTGTACGTGCTACTTGACTTGCCAGTGAGAAAAAGGAAGAGGAAACTGAAGCTCCAAATAAGGCCTTGATTGTGCTAAGCGAGAGATTAAGAATCGATATAAATATCGGACGAGAGGCCGCGATAATAAATATCGGACGAGAGGCCAGAAGAGCAGCGAGAGAGCATGCAAACAAGCAACAGCAAGTAAGACATCTATCGAATTGGGCGGAGTCACTGGCTTGTTAGTGGAGTCTCTTGAGCAATGTGCTTTACTGCCGCTATCTTACCACTTTCTGAAATGAATTGTTCGATGCAGACCACACTACCCCTATGAACAGCTTGGATAATTATAAGCGATCGTGGGCAGTGCCTTTAAACCGATTCACTGTGGCTTCTTTGGGACCATACATGAAAGCGAGTGCATGGCGAACCTCGAGGAGACATCTCATAGCCTCCTCCGCGTAAATATCTACAGTTCAATGATGACTCTTAAAGACGACCTACTTGTCTCGTGGACAGCGCTTTGACACCTGGATTGTCGTCGTTCACCACGCAAATGATAAATGGTCTGAATCGCATCATGATATTCCTTGATTTGCTCCAATTCGCCATCAGTCAGTCGATGCTTATCGTTGGCAATGTATTCTTCCGCACGTTGGTACAACGACACAATGAAATCCTGTAATAGAATGGGCATATTGTGGAATTCTTACTTTGACTGAATCCCTTCAGAAGGACTGGAACCAATCAATCTCACTTGGTTGTCTCTTTCATAGGAAGAAAATTAATGTGATTTCTGCGATAATCTCCGGATTTATGGAAAACTCTCAGAAAATAAGAAAAAGGAATGTTTTCTTGAAAGGCCCCAAATGGTCGCAGTGTCCCGCGCACTGTGACGTTTCGCGCTAATCGTGTGGGGGAGTAACTCAGGCTATCGCGCTTCCCTCACTGGTGCATTGCTCTTCTATGCTATCCCAGCAACCAAAGGGTCACTAATCATAACGCGCTTGTGTCCACTGATGGGCGCATATCAGTGAGTTGCAAGGTAGTGAGATCATAAAGGGGTGTGGTCTCAACTTCTGAGGGCATGGTTGTTTAGGGAATTCACCTATGGAAATTATGGCTGAGCTGATGGCGCGCTCACCGCACCATCAGTTCAGCCCTTATTTCCATAGGTGAATTATATTTATAACCCATTATTTTAGTGGCGCGCTCACCACTCGCGCGGTCCTGGGTTCAAATCCCAGGTCGACTCCGCCCAGGCCAACCAAGCCTTCTACCCTCCGGAGAGGTAAGTTGGTACCAGACCCGGAAGGATGACAACACCTACTTGCACATAGGCTGGCCCCCGCAAGTCATTTTATACGCTTCTGACTGGAGAAGTGAACGTCCCGCTCCCAAAAAGGGCTTGCTTAACGAAGAAGACTTCAGGTTTTCACCTATTGGGATTTCAGCTGTGAGAAAAGCTTTATTTAGACATCGGGGATGCTGCTGTTCACGAGGACGAGGGCGCTTCCACAAGAGCGCGGAATATCGAGGGGATCATACCGATCGCTCCATTTAGCACTGAATTAGGCACGCTGAGCGCTGCCGTCGGACTAAATACCCAGCGGAGAAAGATAAGACCTGAGTTCACAGAGGAATATCCTAACTTCATACCACGCCAATATTTTCAGAAAATGAGAAATAACTCCAAAAATTAGCCTGATCTTTAAGCGGATCCCACTGCGCTGCGCCTCACCCCAAGGCTCACCCTTCCCGCCTACTCCATTTCTGAAGTTAGCAGTAGCATAAATAAACTGATTCGGAAAGTAATACAATACGCTTACCTCGTCCGCGACGTCTTTGTATAGACTGAATAACGATGCAAAATGGAGGAGAAGAGCTAGGCGCTGACAGCTTTTGTTGGGCGAGTATACCTGGAATAAGGCAAGTTCTCCACATCACCACTAGACTGGAGTAAGAAGGACTTGACTTGTATAATTTACTGAAACGCTGCTCAAGCTCTTTTCGATATCCCCCAGTGGCCCCATGAAACTCCTACAAAATGGATATCAGTTACTGCAGTTTCTTTCTTGAGAACAACAAGTAAAACGAATGAAGGGGCACGATGTTCATGAAATTCCTCTCATTTAATTTTCAAGGAATTCGGCACTATTTGCCCTTCACTGCCTCAGTTTTGAAGTTTAGGTCGGATTATCCATCTGCCTAGAATTTGACCACCGCGGGCGAAATACCCCGAATCAAAACGAATTGAAAAGAACAAGAAGTTGAAAACTTGCGTCCAGGGGTATTTTCACCCCTGGACAAATATGTCGCATCCGCTCAACTTGAATTAGTCTAAGGCATGCATCACAAGCGACGGCTCCACATGCTTGTTTGGACTCGATCATTCTGTAGCACGGACTGTTGGCGGTTTCGCACCGAGCGTTGTTTTAAGGCAGCTAGGGAGACACGGCGAACAAATGTAGCGTCGTTTCTGATTGCCCGTGGTAATGATCATTCCCCCTTTCACAAAAGACTCAGCAGAGGAAGGGATCACTAGGTGGAGAAATGGTGCAGAAGAGTAGAAGCAAGTTGTGCAGTCACGTGTACCCCCATTCCTCTATGTTCATCTTCGTTGGCACACCATACAGATGTGAATTCATTTTAAGAATCCATCCAGAGAACGAGTTTTCAGCGAGCGAATCTGGTGATTTGGGGTATTCTTGCGCATGCGGGTGCCAAGCGGTTCAGAGCCAAGCGGATGCCATGTTCGTGTTCAAGAGGTCAGACTACCTCTGGAGACAAAATTTGAGACAAGCGTGCCTTTGAATGAAAAAGTCGGTAAGAAATTGGACTGATGTCGGATGAGTGGGCCACAAAAGGGTACATAGTGCCAGAAATTGCTCTTTGAATGACAGTTTGCTTTAGCATTTTGAATTCCGTCATTTTCCTCTTGGAATACCTTCTCACCTTATCGGCTTTTGTCATCACAGCTTTGTACAGTACCAATATGTCTGACCAATATGTGGCTCGAACTTCATCTCTGAAGGTGAAATCTGACATTCAAGCAGGAGAAAGACAAAAGATCTTCAAGACTTCCTAATGATTATGTACCTTGCAATGAATAGTTTTTGAGCTTCTGTCATTGCTAGAACTTCCAGGAAACCGATACCCACGAAGATCGTGCCATTTGTTTACGTTTTCTTTTGACTGCGTTTACAGGGACAAAAAGCGCAACTCGGTTTTCCTGTTCAAAGGTAAGTGGCACGATAAAACCGCGAGGCATGTTGGATTAACACTCCCAGCAGGACGGAATTCCGCGCCCCTGAGCAGGCGCTGCGTGGCACCTTTTCCAAGGAAGGTACCCTTATAGCGCCCTATCAAGCTGCAACATACCGACCCGAACGCCCACCGCGCCCGCCCGCCCACAAATGTCCGACCGATGCTGATGCTCGTATCGCTTCATTTGCGAAGTACAGTATGAAGCGAAGGGATTGATATGAAGCGGCTGCGGTGCTGCATGGAGGTAGAACATAAATGCAGCCGTATCTACGGTAGCACTCTCCTCATCACTAGAACGAAGGTGTTGCAGGGTTTTGGCCGTTTCACTTCGGTTTTTCGCCATTTTGCCATTATATGGCACCCCTGGTACGGAGCGAGTACCAAATCATCGTGGTTCTATGATGTTTTACATGCTTCGAACGTACGCCTAATCCACCATACCCCTCTCTCGCGGAATTTCTCTCGCGGAAAAGGGGTGAGGTGTTGAAAAATCTAGGAAATGTGGTAGGAATATAGGTATGTAAGCATGGGATGGGGAATACATCCTACCGTAGAGGGAGACTTTGAGGGAAGATTGAGTTTTTGCAAAAACCTCCCATAAAGGTGACACGCTCTAATGAAGTGAGTCTGAAGGGAATAAAGCGGAATAACCAAAATGCATGAAATACCCAAAACTGAGCAAGCGCAGGTACTATAAGCTGCGCGCGACTGTCTTTTACTCTTGGCGATGATGTCCAAATGGTGGCCTAATGAAGAAGTTCAACAGTGTCATTGTTAGAAGGCTTCAACAAGGCTTCACATTAATTAGCTTTACTTTCTCACCCTCAACTCTTCAGGCTCGAAGTTGCTAAACTTCTGACGGCATGTGATATAATCCATGAAATTGGTATGATTTCTATACCTGTTATCGTAGAGTAACTCTTGTATGTTGTAGTGTGCATGGCTGTACGCTTCCGACAGCACTGAAGTGAACAGAAACAGGAATCGGCCGTTCTTTTTTGAGATGTGTGTCGTTTTCAGCATTTCCATAGCATCAGTGCAGACTGTAATGATAGCAATTGAAGAAAACACGAAATGGATTTGGCAGCTCAAAATGAATCGAAAAATGAGCACTGGAGTGGTACTTGTGTGTACAGACGTTTTCCCTGTAGACGCTAGGGCTGTCAGAGGCTGGGTTCGGCGCAGCGCCAACCCGTTCCCGCCAGTTGTTGAAGCAGGCAAGCACCAATAGTTAATGGAAAACGAGCTTGCATCGCCACGAATCCAGCATTCCTGACACCCCCAACATTTGCAACGAAAACGGGTGTATGTATCCGCCTACTAAAGAGTATCTCTAGAAGCCCGTGTAAGGTACCGGCAGTCTCACTCATTATAGTGAGAGCCCACAGCTGAGGTACCTTGCACACTGCTGTGAGTGTAAACAGGGCACATCTTGGGTTTGGAACCTCCAATAGGGGGGATGGTCGAATTTGGTCACTGGTGGGGAGGGGGTCGTGTTCGGAGAGGGAATTTTTTTTCAAGTGTTGATTTTTCCAGCTTTACACGGTCTCCTCTCATGTGTGCCGCAACTACTATTTATATTTGCGATGGTTGATCGGAGCTGTCTCTTCCCCCTCCCCTCCCCCAATCTAGCTCGACGGCAGGAATTTTAATGCCGGGAAGGTTCGTTAAAGGCAGCGTCCGCGTTCAGTTGAGATTTTCCTCTCCCTTCGTGAGCAGGTAGTCAGGTCCGCAGAGGCAACAACTACACCACTTTCGCGGCGCAAAAACGAGTGAGGAGGCCCACGATGCCGTTCGTCTTGCTCATTGGCCCAACCTACAATCATTGGCACCGCCCTCCATTCATTCCTAATGGTTATCTGATGGTGCGGTTGTTTCGCTGCTGCTTCTCTCCACGTCGAGTGGTGAGAGTGAGGTGATAAGGGAAAACAGCTGATATCAACAAGTGAGAACTCGTGCGACCGCACCTTCTCTTCGCCTTGAGCACGTACAACCTCAATTAAGCAAGGGGTTCTATATAGAGCCTTTCCTATGATTTCTTTCTGATTTTTCTTCACTAAGGGTCACTTGCTACCTTGTTTTAGTATTTGAGCCGCTTAACCCATCAAATTTTAACGCGGGCTCAAGCCCTTCACAACTGTACCGTTCGTTGTGGATGCACAAGTCGTATCCTGGAAAGAATTGTGGTCCTGTACAATACACGAAATCCCGCCACGCCAGACTGAGCTCCGTATCTCAAGAACCTTGGAATCTGAAGAAGCTGACTGACTTATGAAACTCAGGTTTTCAGGCGCACACTCTTTTCCAATAGCGCATAACTGGGCGATGATAGTCGGCCACCACTCAAAGGCACGTCCCGCGTTAAAAAACAGTGAGTTGTGCGGCCCATACACTAATGACAGCCTGGGAAATCATTCGGATGCGAAGAAAAAGGCGGGGTAAAATTCAACCGAAATGCCTTGTATAGAACCCCAAGTCCGAACCGAGCATGTTCATGCATGAAACGAAGATGAGGTATGGTCGGGAAACTTCTCAATTGTTGGGGCCTCCTTCCCATTATCACCTCACCTACGCCTATTCGAAATGGAGACAACTAGTAGCCAAACAACAACTGCAGCCGCCCTCCAGGAAATTTTAGAAAACGAAAATTGGGCGATTTGTTGGGAAGTGGGCGGGTGCTCCCTCTGTCGCAAGCAAGTCGCGATTCCCAAGCTGAAAGCGGCAGATAATTCTATGGATAAATTCAACAACATTCCGGAACGCATGAACACAAGTTCACACTTGTCTGCTCCCTGTGGCCGCGTGACACACATGGTGTGTCATGATCTTCAGAGGCTAAAATTTTCTTATGTTCTGGCTGTTGCACGAACTTTCATGATTGTTATATATCCTTGTAGGGGTACGAATTCCTCTGTATGGTTGGGCCATGAAAAGCTCCAATAGTTTATTTGTAAAATATTTTTTTTGAAGTGTGACCGACTCACAAGACCATCATGCTATATAAATACATCGCACATGAAACAGTTAGCTGATAGACTGATCAACTGGGGCTAGTCACTGTCCCGATCATCATTTAGCATACTCTTATAGCGTCCACTTAATTTGGCGCCACTGGGCGCCAGTTTGGCGCCGCGACCTTTTGCACCATATCCAATCGCGGAAACATGGGTTTGAGGGATGATCAGGGTTTCTCTCACAGAACTGAGATACATTCTTACAGCAGGCGCTATTTGACGCAGTTTGGCGCCAGTTTGGCGTTATTACATCTTTCACGGAAATCGACATAGATATGCATTTGGAGGTTAGCGGGGTCTCTTATTAGTGTTTCGCTCCGTTGAAAATCGAGGAGGTGGATCTGGTTCAGCACTCTGCGACGGAGAATCGGCGGAAACGGCATCCGAAAAATCGATAGCCGACCATCGTACGGAGGCACTTGCCAATGCGCAGAGACTGAGAGAGTGCAGCAGAGGTGTTGTGGCGCTCGCGACGTAGTGTGAACACTATCTAAGCTATCGGCGACGTTAGTTTAGCAGCAGCATTTCTCTTCGAAATTCGTGGTGAACCGCTCATTTCCAAAGGAATGGCCTCTCAAGGCAGGTTACAGTCATACTTCGAATGTGTTGAAGTTGAAGCTGAAGATTTGTTATTGCAGAAAATGTTTCACCAATAAATTCTTCCACATTTCACATATCAATGAAAAAACGAAGTGAAAACTTATCCAATATTTCTAAAGAGAGCGTTGTAACGCTAGCCTCTGGTGCCAGCTTCTATTAAATACCTACAGTAAATGTAAAGAAAATGTATGTCATGCACGGTTCTATTAATCTGTTGGGAGTCGAATCGTGGCGCCAAGTCGGCGCCCAGTGGCGCCAAATGGCGCCAGCGCTAAAAATGAATGTCATATTCGTAATTGGCATGTTAAAGAACCCCCAAAAGCAGTTTTTCAGTGTGAAATAACCAATGAGAAAAAATCGCGTCTGAAACCTGTCCCGTGTGGCCGCAATGACACACACCATGTGTTCACGGCCAGGCCTCGCAGCGGTAAAAGGTCGCGGGCACACGAGACTGCCACGCGAAAATCAGGCCGTCGTCCGGAATGTGTTATAATCAATGTAGAAAATATACTGAAGGTATTAACAGTGGTGGCAATGGTACGCCCCTCATTGTACGAATTAATAGAAAACTGCTCACTCTTGTGATTTGAAGCTGTTTCCCAGTACGTCTCGCTGAGCGCTGCATGAAAAATTCCGGTAGATCTCAGACATATCTTCGAGTGAAATGTGAACTCTTCCATTTTGGCATCCACAGCCTCCGCATAGGCCGAAAAGGTGTATAAATGCATTTTACTAAAAATATTTCAATCTGAGTTGCCGGTTCCAGTCGATAAACAATCAGAACAAAGTAGAGAGTATAGAAACCTACTACAGTGTAAAATAAAAGATCTTATAGTCAGAAGGCAGTTGATAATCGCACAGTACGTTATCACATTACGACACAAGGCGTGTAAGTGAGCGTGGATTGGCTGGAACGCAGCCAGGGCGGACTTTTCCACTAATCATGCCATCCTGGGCCCACAACAATTGGTTGGAGAAGGCTGCCATAGCTGCGCCATAGCTAATCCACGCTCCTTCATACGTCGTTCCATAAGTATAATAGCTCTAAACTCTCATAGGAGGCCCCACAGTCTTATCATAGCGGTGGAAGGCAGCCCAGTGGACAGTAAGGTCACCTAAAAGTAGTCTCACGCAGAGCCCGGAAGCCGGGTTGTACTTGGCGTGACTCAAATGCCAGTACTTTATATTTGCTACCGGGTTCCAATAATAACCGATCAACTATCAAGGAAAGAAATTGTACAGTTGGAGCAGTCCTCAGAAAGAAAAAAGTGAAATTGAGTAATTCCTGTTGCCGCTTACTCCTCTGAACCTGCCTTTTACGAGTTACTGGCATAATTTGCAGTTCTGCCAGTTTTCTGGTAAGGTCAGTAGGTCAGTATCAATGACGTCACTTACTTTTGGATCTGTGAAGAACGGAATGACGTTCGCCGTCGTCCCATTGGGCGCAGCGGTTGATGAAATGATGGCGACGAAAAGTGTGTTTCACAGAATGCTAACGTTTCGATCCCGAAAAAGGGTCATGCGGAAAATACGCCCCTTTCGAAGGTCTCAATCGTTCCCAACTTATGATTCGCCCCACGAACACAAAGCGCATATCCACATTCACAGCAACTTTATGGACCGTGAACACAGTAATGTCCCCGAGAAACTGGTTTTCAACATTCACGTTCGAACACATTCGCTGTGTCAGAACACTTTAGTTGCTAGCCCGTTAGCCCTGTCAGAGTGGGGTACCCTACAGCTTATAGGACAGGCAGCACTATCCAAAGAAGAAATTCAGATTGGTGATACATTGGCTGATGGTTTTGAACATTCAGGAGAGTGTAAACGATGCTTGTGCCGCTTTGTGGCCTCACAAGACTTCACAGTTCTCCATGGAAGTAATGATTCATTTGATAATGATCCATTGGAACTAGCGGAATGCCCCCACCCGCTGCGCCAACATTCACATAGTCCAACAGACGAGGTTGTAAATGTGAAGGAAAAGGAGTCTGCGAGGGAAGTGATGTGAACCACTTTCGGGCGTCCGCCCTGATGATTCCTTTCTGTTTCAAAAGAGAGCCGGTGGAAGAAAACGCAACTTTCAACCAAATAATATCTTCTCTTGAGGGGTGGGGCGGGGGGGGAGGGAGTGGGGCATCCAAAGCCCGACTCCTTTGAATGTGGTTGTCAGAACGATTCGCAGATACCTAGATAGAGACTTTCTATCAGCAAATGTGTGCCAATTTACCGACTGTAGAGGGTCGTTGGTTAGTGCTTGTAAATGGGATGGATCAGGGCACCCTGTACTTGGGGAAAACTAGTGCAGAATACACCTCTCTCATCTTTCTTCTCTAGTATGACCTCCCGCTCCCCTTTTCCTTTTCCCGCCGTGCCCATCTACCAACCATCTTCCTGGACTCTTTCGTATTTTCA